AATCAGAAGAGAATTATGAAATTATAAGCAGGCCTGATGAATCATCATAAGATATTCTTTAAAACAAAATTATACTTCTAGAAAGATGTAGAAGAGCTAACAGGCTGATCCCAATTTGAGAAGGCAGTGAAGCCAGCATAATACATTGCTGGCTGATGCAAAATGTATTTTCTCTGTAAAAGATCTTGTCCAGATTACAAGACTGTTGTTCCTGCAGGCCATTCACTTGAAGAGAGAGCTTTCCTGAATCAGTCAGGAAGAAACTGAAAGCCACAGGAACTCCCTCCAGAAAACAGCTTATGTACAAGTAGTGAGGAAAGCCAGAATTTGCACAGCTCAGCCAAAATTCTTCAGGAATCCTGTATTTATACCCAACTAAATGCAGATACATGACACACAACAGCAAATAGATAAAAGATGTGCAGAGGTATTCTTTCTCAATACATCAATTCCCAAAATCCTTCAATAACTCACTTAAAAAAAAAAATACCTCATGTAATTAGAAACAATGAGTGCAGAATTTCTCTAAGTTAGATCATGGAATGGTGGTATTTGAAGATCCATGTTTCAAAGCCATATAGATTGACCTTACATATTACTGCTTATACTACTATATTACTTTTTCACCAAAATGAATCAAAACAAAGCCAATTTGCATCTTCAAAATAAAAAACTTCTAAACAACAGAAACTCTTTTTTTTTTCCTAAGAGAAAGCCAGTGAACCATCTGGGTACTATATGAACAAATCTTTTCCAAGAACTACACAGCCATTTTCTCTCCAGATTCAGAAACACATTTGCCAGGGCTTTCTGCTTTAATATTCTTCCCCTTCATTTTCCTGAAAACATGTTTCCTTTGTGCCCTGTGGACAAGATACAACATCCATCCGTTCTAATTAAACTACAGGTTTTCCAAGAAAAACAATTGCCAGTCACAAGATAAACAGGACCCTGGCAACAAGTATACAAAACTGGAGGGGGGGACCACTTAATTCATATCCTTCTACAGTTGTGTGTTCTCTCCACTCTTCCAAAATAACTGAGTGCTTGCAAACAATAAAATCAGTATATTCATTTAAAAGATGCCTAATATTTTAATATTGCTTTCATACTAAAAATCTGTAGAGATTAAAGGCAGGATAAGGAGATTTCAGTTATTAGACCTATAATTTTAATTCCTATACAGTCTGCGCATAGACACAGTGAAAAACCCATCCTTCCAATCACAGAAGCTTTCAGAACCTAAAAAGCATAGCTGTTCAGAAACTGAGAGGGCCCATCAGAGAAAAGAAACAGCACAATGCCAAATGTTGTTTGCATTATATAACTTTAGCAGCAAAATTTATATTGTGTCTGGTAACTGTAAACAGCTAATTAATGTCAGCCTCACTTTGCTGCTTGTCTGAAACAGACACCAGAACAGTCAGGGCATGATTGGACAGGAGGAAGGAATGGGAAAAAGGAAAACATTTACACCCAAAACCAGCTACAGTGAATGTCAGATATCAAAACAAACAAACAAAAAAAACCAAACCAGGAAGCTTGCAAAACATTTGTGAGAAAAACCAAGCTCTCCCCAGCCAGTACAGTCAGCTCTGAAGCTATGCCCTTTTACAAATGTAGATGCAAATGTCTTTTTGCATCTGCTTGAAATCCCAGGAAAGATCCCTGGACCTCCTCTGTAACATAACAAAAAAAAAAAAAAAAAAAAATCAAGAGAGAAGGGAGGAGGACATTCCTGAGTTGAGCTTGGCATGGGGTTTTCCTGGTTGCTTGGTACAAGCTAGAGTTTCCTTCACCTAAAACTGGCTTTTTGCCAAGAAAATGTAGGATACATTCAATAAGCAGAAGTGGCTTAAATTTATTTTCCCCTGACCTTCCCTGACAGGGAAAGGTCACAGAAGCTCTGTAGAGCATTTGAAGTTTCAGACCACACTACCAGTGTCTCTCAAACCAGATGCTCTGATACAGCATCCACTGGATTCTTCTCCATATCCCAGCAGCCAGGACAAGACATTAACTTCTCATTGCTGTCAGCTTCTTAACAGGCAAATTACCATCCTGCTTAGCCTAACAGAATATACACTTATACATATTCAAATGCTCAGGCTATCCACTATGTCAGATCAAGAAACCTTACTCCTTGGCAACTGAAATTGATTTACTGTTGAAATATCAAACATGATACTTATTCCAAACAGCAAAAAGAGAAATAAATGTCATGCTCATCTGTGAGACAACCACAGTGGCTAACAAAACAGCTCTTTTGGATGGAAACATCCAACAGAAGAGTCTATGTTAAAAACTGTAAATTACAGCTCCCCATTTAAAGTCCCAAAATAGCATTAACTGAAGACTGAGCAAAAGTACTATATAAATGTACACATGAAAGGTCATTTAAAAATCTCTTTGTGGATTTCATTAGTTGTCAGATTAATTTCACCATGATGTCTCTACTAGAATCAATACTACCAAGTGCAAATAAAGCCCACAACTGGTTTTTATAATGTCAGTATTGGAAGAACTTTGCTACAAAACTGACACTAAAGTTTGTATACAGCTAGGTCAATGACTTCTAAAAACCTAAAACAGATTCCAAGAATTAATGACCTGAAAAAAATAAAGGCAGTTCATTTCTACACATCTCTAGGCAGAGATTTTGTTGGGGTTTTTTTTTAAGTTTATTGTAAAACTCATGCTTATTTTGGTAGTGTAGGCATTTCATTTTTGTGATAGCATCTATGTGCCCTCAACATACAAAAGGCCATAACTAACCCAACTTCTCTTCTTCCCCTTGCCTACTTTTTAGATAGTTTCAATGTGTTTTGTTGAGGCACTTCAATACCACCTTGTTATCCCTTACAAGTATGGATCACAAAGCATTTGTATAAAACACATCAGAAGGTTGGGTATTACAGTATTATTGAACAAACATTGTTTATATAGTATTCCCAGCCTGGACTTTTTTTTTGCACTTCAGTAATACAGTTCTAAAAATAGAACACCTGTCTGGGAATGCCAAAAAAACCCTGAAATAGTGATGAAAAGTTGGCAGTCTGAGGGTGTCCTCCAAGTTCTATCAGCAGCAGTCTTCAATTTTCTAAAATAGATCCTGTACTAGGATACAGAAATAACTTGCATGGTATTTATGCAGAGAATGAGAAAGAATTCTTATATGACTGAGTCACAGAAACACAACTAGAAAGGCTAGAAGCTGTCTAAATTTCTAAAATTAACAGAGAAATATTTTGTAATTAGTACCAAAATCCATCTAGCCAGAGGAAACAATAATACACTTCAATTGCTCAGAACACAAGGAAGGTAGAAAATAAATCTCAAAACAACAGAGGAGGGGCAAAGGGGACATGGGAAACAGAACACATTCCAAGCTAAATTAAGGATTATAAGCAGCTTCTAGCTCTATATACTCAAGAAAAGAAAGAATACATTAGATGCACAGAAGTAGAAATAAATGAGAACTGAAGAACCACACAAGCACAAAACAATAAAAGGATAGAGAAGAGGTGCAGAAGACAGGCGAGAAAAAAAAAAAAACACACAAAAACCACTTAGAAAGCATTTTTCTTCTTCTTGCTTAATGTGTAAAAGAGTCATTTAAGAAGAGCAAAAGGCAAACTGTAAGTAAAAAAAAAAGCACAAATCAATTAAGAGAAGTTACAGAAATCTTAACTGGCAGCATTTGTCTACTACAAAGAAAAAAATGTAAGTGTGAAATTAAAAACTGGTTGTGGACATTATTCAAAGAAAAAAAGTAAAGACTGCATATGACAGTAGGCTGCAAACAAAAAAAGTGTGAACAAACTAAAAGGCCACTTTACAAAAAGTATCTCAAGAAACAAGACTGTTTCAAGGCACATATCAAAAAAAACATGGAAACAAGCTACCAGCAGCCAAACAATCCACTCTAAGGCCATATGCTTGAGACATCTCCATAAATCCAGTCTACAATAAAAAAAACTTCAAATGAATAAAATAATAAAATTTTATGTAAATTATTTTAAGACTAACTGCATAGAATAACCATCTACAGAATTACCATGTCAGTAAATACAATTACTTCTTCCAATAACCCTGACTAAAAACACAAAATAAAAAACGAAGATACACCTTCCTAGACATTTTGATATATATTTCCCTGGTGTCTATAAAGGCCTTTGTTTTGGTATGGTAACAAATATACTTTTTCAAGGGTTTTTATGAATATGCTGAATACACCACTGAATGGATCTTAACAGTGATGGGTAGACTACTAAAGTCAAATACATGTCCATACTGTATTAACTCAGCATCTACTGTACATGCTTATGAAAAGTTATGTAGGACAGAGTTGTTTAAAAGGATGATAATTAAAAACAAAAAGGCACTTTGTCCTGGTCTCAGCATTTCACAAAGCAAAACAGAAAAAAAAATACTTTATTAATTTTACATCGAAAAATGCCACACCCCTGCCTTGCACTTTCTGATGCAGAACTACGCTAACACAAACCAACAACAAAAAAAAAGAAAAAACCAGCTTGCTTCTACGATTTTTAATGTAAAGGAGATTAAATGTCTTCATAAAATGATGGACTCCTGTCAGCTACAAAAATAGCAGGTACCTAATATAGCTTACCAGTGCAAAGTCTCTCCCACCCAATTCAAGTATTTTAGATCTATTTTATGAAGTGGCTGACATAAAGTCAATGAACCTATCCAATTTATATAGGTAAAAAAGAATGACAGCTGGTTGCCTCACAATCAGTTCAACACTGTAGCTGGCTTTGAGAACCCCTATTCCATGCTTCAGCAATGTGCATACTTTAAAAATACAGTTCATGTGTTTTGAAACCCCTTACTGCAGAACAGTTGGTATTACTGTCTTAGGTAGGCATGCTATTGTCAAGTAACATCACACTGTTAATTTCACAGAAACAAAAAAAGAGAGATCCATTCACTTCAAGTCTTAGGTTTTTTTAACGTTTCATTTTTGGGTGCCTTACAACTGCTGCAGTTCTGGTCACATGTCTTCCGCTGCCAAAAGTTTTACTGAAGAACGGCATCCTATCGGAATAGATCTGAAAGGGTCTGAGCTACCTTCGAGCCCCCCAGCACCACTATCAGGCTGAGACGCTGCAACTGTTGCAGCCAACAAAGGCCGGCTTCGCCTCTCGCCTTCACTCCCCATCACCAGCTAAGACAAAAGAGCTCCAAACGGCACAAGAACTCGCTGCAAGGCAAAAACGACCCACGCCTGCAAGACGCCGTTGCCCTACCACATCCCTTTTACTCAGCCCCCACCTCACGCCCGGCTGTCAGAGAAGGGAAGCCACCGACTAGAGCCATGGCGGTCAGGCTGAAGCACAGGGCCGTTCAAACCGCTACCGAGAAGGGCGAAGGGAGGCCGATAGAAGAGGCACTCCCATTGCAAATGGTGGGGAAGCAGAGGGAATCGAGGGGGGACGCGGGTAGCCGAGGGCG